TTTAATGTAGAATACGTCAGTCACTCATCCAGTTCCACTATTATTTTCCCAAAAGATCAAAGATTAAAAACAGTTATCAAGATTTAATTTCCATATCGTTAGATATATTTAATCTTAACATTGAAACATCTTCATGTATTATTCTGTATTGAATGACATTAGATATATGCTCCTATACCGCCGCTGGTGTCTTAATTTGCGAGAATTAAACATTTAGTTTGCATCCAACCATGCGCGTCCCAAATTATACAGCGTCAAGCTTTCAGAGCTCCAAATAAGTTTTCCAAAGTAGAAATTAAGCAAAATGAATATTTATCAAGTTTCCTTTTGCTAGAACATATGCATGCTGTTATGGTTTTTCAAAAAAATCTTCGTTCTCTCTGTTGTTAACAATATTAAAACAACAAGTACTATAAAATATAATACGGAAATATATTACATATCATTTACGCATCCGGCTGCTCACAAAACAATGCTATTAAACAATATTTGTGTCCCAGGGACTGAATACCAATTAGACCAAGCCAGCTCTACAGATACTGACTCTCTCAAAGACAGCAAGCTACATTATACATTTAATTGAAAACTGTAATCTCAAACATATCTAATGCTACTTCAACACTTTATCATATACTTAGCAGTTGAATATTCTGTAAAATTGAAATTAATCCTCTATTAGTTTACAGTGACGATTCTTGCAGGCTATATAATGCAGGCACGGCCCGTTATGTATCATTCAATCTTTATCTTTCTCACTTTCTTATAAAGGCATAATGATCGATAATCTCTTCTGTTGCAGTGTGAAATGTTAATTTATTGTGAGTAAGGCTAATCCCTTTCTCCAGACATAAATTGATCACTCACCAACAACTGACATGGGATTACTCCTCGTTAAGGCAATACTAAGTGATACAATATACTGCAGATTAATTAACTAATTAAGGGTTAAATGAGATTGTTTACTCAGAGTGTGATGTAATCCGTTTGATGTCGAATTACAAAGAGTGAATCTTCAAAAAGGGTAAGCATACCCAACACTACCAGTAGCACCTGGCATTCCCAAATAGTGTTGTTCTGGGGGGTGATGCGTATTTTGTCTCAAAGCCAAAATGGTTGGTTGTTTAAATAGTGACACTTTAATAAACTATTCTTCTTCTTCTTCTTTTTGTTCATTGTCAAGATGCTGTGTATTACTTCCCAGACTGCTGACATATGTTATCATTTTTTATCTTCAAATATCACGATGTGCCCACTGACACCGTCATTATGTTGATTGCCTGATTGTTTAGAACTATCAGTCGCGATATGTTATATGATTGCTTTGTATAACATCGGCATGCTGTTCACTTTCATTGGGACTGGATGCTTTGCACAATAGCGATAGTATCTCACTGTTAATTATTTTTTTATCATTTGCATTTACATAAGTAAAGAACATATCAATTTAATCTGAATACGTGAATGTGTCAATTTCTTGTTCTAAAAAGTACAGGTATAAGTATTCATATTCGACTTCTTATCATTTGTATTTGTAAGAATTTGTTTAAATTGTCTTGCGCCTGTTGTACATTACATTTATGGTCGTAGTTTGTTGACTTTGCTAACAATATTAGACTGAGCCCCAAGAAATGTTTTGAACATTTGATTGCATTTTAAGCAAAGTTTGTGCCGTTTGGACAATATTCATACCAACAAATGTAACAGTGGCAAAAGTAAAAAAAACTAAGATGGCGGATGTAAAATTTCGGAGTTAAATCAGTACTTTTAAAATATCGGGAATAGTTTCTGCGCACCCGGCCACCTGGGTTCCAGCCACTAATGCCTAAGTCCACTTTTGCCTACAGTTACTATTGCCTACAAATAAATAAAACAGTGTGGAATAATGCCTACACAATGAAAACAACATACCCATGCTAGGAATAAACTCTTTGAAATTTCTTTGAAATCATCAAATATCTGCTGGTGTATATACTATAAGAACTAATGCAATGATGCAGAAATGATGCACTGATAGTAGGTGTCGCTGAAAATCACTGGTGCATGACTTTGTTTATTGTAGGCCGTAGGCATTAGTTGATGTAGGCATTAGTGGACGAGGACGCCACCTGGGAGCAATACTGCCACAAACGTGCAATGTCCCTTTCCCCATGTTGAAGCATATTGAGAAAACCATACCTTTGTACTTATTATCTTTTGTAAAACATAAAACATTAATACAACATATATCCCCGTGTTATGGGTTTTCGGACGCTGAATAAACATTCATAGTTTTTTCACATGAACAACTGTAAAACATCTCATTCACTTATAAAAGACAACTTTATCATAAAAAAAAGTCATTATTGGATTATTAACAATTTCTGTGTGACGCCTCCCCCCACCCCCACCCCCTCCCGTTATAGTGCAAGTATTCAGGATAGAAAACGTATGATGTCCGGAAATGATCCCATGATTGGTTGATGAATAATAATAAAGGCATGTTTGATGCTGAAAACTCGAAAACAGGACAATCCGCAACGGTTGTCCGGCAACACGATATTTTCGGAGTATTTTAAAAAAATATCTTTCATTATATTTTGAAAAGGATTTTTCCAAGGACTGCCGTTTTTAAAAAAACGCGATTTTCAGCGTTCCGCCTAGATTTGACATTTTAAGAATGTTTTCCCTACAATTAAACCGACACCTCAGAACAAACCAAATTCAACACTTTAAATTAATAATAAAATAGTTTTCATCCTCTGTGCAATCCACACTCCGCGGCCTCCCCGTACAAACGAATCCAAGCTCAGCACAAATTGATTTCAACACTTTCAAAACAGAAGTCACCGCCAATGCAAATCACCCCCGACAGCTTATCGTCTCTGTGCATTTGACCATAAAGTCTACTCACATACTAAGCACCGCGCCAGGAAAAGTACCAGACGCCTCAATCGCTTACCCGTCAATATCATTGTAAGGAGAGTATGTACTCCCGCTAACAGTGTGGAGTACTAATTAAACATTCCAGTAATGTTACACGCCACTATATCAGTTTTTTGTAACTTGCTGATACTATTTTGCACATACAAAACAATTATCCTCCTTTACAAACATATACAAAGAAACACAGTGCTCAACTTTAAACACTTCAATTTGCATATATATATATAATAATTATACACAAATACATAACAATTATCTCCCTTTACCAATATATACAAAGAAAACAAATTTGGATATACCATATATACAAATTTGTATATTTTTGTATATGTCGTATATACAAACTTGTATATTTTTGTATATATCATCATTCCAATCTTGTATATCCTTTGGAAATATCATCTTTCCAAAGGATATACAAGCTTGTATATATGGATTTTTTTTGCAGTGTATGATAGGAAATCCTCATCAGAGTACTTGCTATAAAGACCGTTTACATTCCACGATAATATGCGGAACAAAGATAATACCGCATCGTCGCCACTGCATGGATTCACGGAAAGCGTCCGTACAATCACCGGTGTAGTTGCTATTTGATCCATCTGAAATTTGGCCTTGGCCCCCATCCTATCTGTCACCTCTCTCACTTGATAGGGTTCTCACACCGCGTTGTTGGAGACGACGTACAGATTTGTTTGTTGCTGGTGTTGTGGGAACATCCTGACGGGCAACGGAAGGGTGTGTATCAGGAACCGTCACGAGTTTCCCCTGCTTGTAATAGCCGCGGACACCAGTTCCCTCCAGTTCTTTGAGTCGTCTGCGTTGTCTTATCGTCAGGTCGCTTGCGATATTGAATCCTGCTTCTTTAAAAGATGGTCTTGCTTTCAATGTGTAGACTTTATCAATGGATTCCTGGAATTTCGCGATAAGAGGTCTGGGTCTAGTAGAGTCTTGACGTTTAGTCCCAAGTCTGTGTGCGCGGTTGATATCACACTTTTGCCACGTCTTTGTTTTCACGTTTGTTCAAGAGAGAGATAATAATATCTTTCGATTTTCCAGACATTTCATTTTCAACCTCCGGAATGCCGTGAAAGATCACATTATCACGTCTACTGTATGCTTCTAGTTTGTCAAGTTCATCCTCAACATCACTGTACCTGTTCTGAATAACGTCTACTTTTTCTGTCAAAGCATCGATATCGTCATACATTATGCCACTATTCTTCTTAAGTAGGTCAACATCTGTCTCTGTCGCAGTTACCCGACCTTCTAGATGCAAATATTTGTCGTTGAGTGTTCTAATTTCAGATTTCAGTTCTGCCATTTCATTACTTAATTCAGTTTTCACATGACGGAGTTCGGACAGGATGGAGTCACGTACCTGGTCGAGTGTTGTCGGCCCCGGGTTCATCTCGATGTCGCCTGAACAATTAAGCATACTGGTCACGACTTCCGCCGGCGGATGACTACTTCCCAGTGTGAATGCATCAAATGCACGGACTTGTATGGTAGAGCGTGATGTTACACTGCACTCAAATCTGGTTACGTCATCATCACAACAGGCTTCGCAAAATAAGTTCTCAGCACTGAATAATCTTGAAAATTCAAACTTTTCTTGCAGAATTTGCATAAGAGCCAACACAGAGAGTAAGTGTGTTGTAAATAAGAATAAACATACAAAAACTCTCAGGTTTGCATCAGATCCATGGACAAACTTTGTGTACCTGTCGTGAGCGAGTTCAACTTGGCGTGTCCCTCGAGGTTGCATTAAGGTGCCGATCCGAGCTCTGTACAAAGCGATCGAGATCATAGTAATGTTTGATGGTATAAGAGTCACCTTCAGATGCAGTTAGACAAGATCAAGGCTTGTAGATGCGGAGTTTTTACACAAAATACTTCACTGGATCATCGGAGCTCTGAAGAGAGCATCCATACTCGCCAAAGGCAGATAACTCTCTGTGTATGTTGTGACACACCTCTCTTTTGTGACTACCTGTGATCTGTATGTTGTGACACATCTCTCTTTTGTGACTACCTGTGATCTGTACGTTGTGACACACCTGCATGTTTCCACTCACCTGTGATCTGTATGGTTTCCGGTAGTCCAGGACTTTCACCTGATGGCCATCGCTGTCCATACAGACTTGGAACACACATCTGTGGCCCAGCCTTGCGCCGTAGACCACGTCACAGCTGCCAACCTGCACAAACACAATGTTCAACACTGACTACCCCTTGCATTGCTATGTGCCTACAGGATAAAGGTGAAGACAGGTGCCTACAGGATATAGGTGAAGGCATGTGCCTACAGGATATAGGTGAAGGAATGTGCCTACAGGATATAGGTGAAGGCATGTGCCTACAGGATATAGGTGAAGACAGGTGCCTACAGGATATAGGTGAAGGAATGTGCCTACAGGATATAAGTGAAGGCAGGTGCCTACAGGATATAGGTGAGGGAATGTGCCTACAGGATATAGGTGAAGGCATGTGCCTACAGGATATAGGTGAAGGCATGTGCCTACAGGATATAGGTGAAGGCATGTGCCTACAGGATATAGGTGAAGGAATGTGCCTACAGGATATAGGTGAAGGCAGGTGCCTACAGGATATAGGTGAGGCATGTGCCTACAGGATATAGGTGAAGGAATGTGCCTACAGGATATAGGTGAAGACAGGTGCCTACAGGATATAGGTGAAGGAATGTGCCTACAGGATATAGGTGAAGGAATGTGCCTACAGGATATAGGTGAAGGAATGTGCCTACAGGATATAGGTGAAGGCATGTGCCTACAGGATATAGGTGAAGGCAGGTGCCTACAGGATATAGGTGAAGACAGGTGCCTACAGGATATAGGTGAAGGAATGTGCCTACAGGATATAGGTGAAGGCAGGTGCCTACATGATATAGGTGAAGGCAGGTGCCTACAGGATATAGGTGAAGGCAGGTGCCTACAGGATATAGGTGAAGGAATGTGCCTACAGGATAAAGATGAAGGCATGTGCCTACAGGATATAGGTGAAGGAATGTGCCTACAGGATATAGGTGGAGGCATGTGCCTACAGGATATAGGTGAAGACAGGTGCCTACAGGATATAGGTGAAGGAATGTGCCTACAGGATATAGGTGAAGACAGGTGCCTACAGGATATAGGTGAAGGAATGTGCCTACAGGATATAAGTGAAGGCAGGTGCCTACAGGATATAGGTGAGGGAATGTGCCTACAGGATATAGGTGAAGGCATGTGCCTACAGGATATAGGTGAAGGCATGTGCCTACAGGATATAGGTGAAGGCATGTGCCTACAGGATATAGGTGAAGGAATGTGCCTACAGGATATAGCTGAAGGCAGGTGCCTACAGGATATAGGTGAGGCATGTGCCTACAGGATAAAGATGAAGGCAGGTGCCTACAAAATATAGGTGAAGGCATGTGCCTATAGGATATAGGTGAAGGAATGTGCCTACAGGATATAGGTGAAGACAGGTGCCTACAGGATATAGGTGAAGGAATGTGCCTACAGGATATAGGTGAAGGAATGTGCCTACAGGATATAGGTGAAGGAATGTGCCTACAGGATATAGGTGAAGGCATGTGCCTACAGGATATAGGTGAAGGCAGGTGCGTACAGGATATAGGTGAAGACAGGTGCCTACAGGATATAGGTGAAGGAATGTGCCTACAGGATATAGGTGAAGGCAGGTGCCTACAGGATATAGGTGAAGGCAGGTGCCTACAGGATATAGGTGAAGGCAGGTGCCTACAGGATATAGGTGAAGGAATGTGCCTACAGGATATAGGTGAAGGCATGTGCCTACAGGATATAGGTAAAGGAATGTGCCTACAGGATATAGGTGAAGGAATGTGCCTACAGGATATAGGTGAAGACAGGTGCCTACAGGATATAGGTGAAGGAATGTGCCTACAAGATATAGGTGAAGGAATGTGCCTACAGGATATAGGTGAAGGCAGGTGCCTACAAGATATAGGTGAAGGAATGTGCCTACAGGATATAGGTGAAGGCCTTTGCCTACTGGATATAGGTGAAGGAATGTGCCTACAGGATATAGGTGAAGGAATGTGCCTACAGGATATAGGTGAAGGCATGTGCCTACAGGATATAGGTGAAGGCAGGTGCCTACAGGATATAGGTGAAGGAATGTGCCTACAGGATATAGGTGAAGGCAGGTGCCTACAGGATAAAGGTGAAGACTGGTGCCTACAGGATATAGGCGAAGACAGGTGCTTACTGGATATAGGTGAAGGCATGTGCCTACAGGATATAGGCGAAGACAGGTGCCTACAGGATATAGTTGAAGGCATGTGCCTACAGGATATAGGTGAAGGAATGTGCCTAAACCTTGTACCTCCTTACTGACAACGTTTAGTCTTGTATCTCCACTCTGTTGACGTTAAATCTAATACCTCTTTACAGTTAATGTTAAATCTCATACCCCTTTACAGTTGACGTTAAGTCTCATACCTCCTTACTGTTGACGTTAAATCTCGTACCTCCTTACTGTTGACGTTAAGTCTTGAACCTCCTTTCTGTTGAGGTTAAATTTATACCTCCTTACTGTCAACATTTAGTCTCGTACCTCCTAACTGTCAATGCTTCGTCTTGTACCTCCTTACTGTCAACATAACGTCTCGTATGTCCTTACTGTTGACATTAAGTCTTGTACCTTCTTACTGTTGACGTTAAGTCTTGAACCTCCTTACTGTTGACGTTACATTTGTACCTCCTTACTGTCAATGTTTAGTCTCGTACCTCCTTACTGTTAACGTTAAGTCTAGTACCTCCTTACTGTCAACATAAAGCCTCCACCTTCTTTACTGTCAACGTAATGTATCGTACCTCCTTACTGTTAACGTTTAGTCTCGTAATCCTTACTGTCAATGTTAAGTTTCGTACCTCCTTACTGTCAACGTTAAGTCTGGTACCTCCTTACTGTTGATGTTTAGTCTTGTACCTCTTTACTGTTAAAGTTTAGTCTTGTACCTCCTTACTGTTAACGTTTAGTCTCGACTTCCTTACTGTTAACGTTTAGTCTCGTACCTCCTTACAGTTAACCTTTAGTCTCGTACCTCCTTACAGTTAACCTTTAGTCTCATACCTCCTTACTGTTAACGTAACGTCTCGTATCTCCTTACTGTTGATGTAAAGTCTCATACCTCCTTACTGGTAACATTTAGTCTCGTATCTCCTCACTGTTCACATTAAATTTGTACCTCCTTGCTGTCAATGTTTAGTCTTGTACCTCCTTACTGTCAACGTTTAGTCTCGTACCTCCTTACTGTCAATGTAAAGTCTCGTACCTCCTTACTGTCAACGTAATGTATTGTACCTCCTTACTGTATAGTTTAGTCTCTTAATCCTTACTGTCAATGTTAAGTCTTGTGCCTCCTTACTGTCAACTTTAAGTCTGGTACCTCCTTACTGTTGACTTTTAGTCTCGTACTTCCTTACTGTTAATGTTTAGTCTCGACTTCCTTACTGTTAATGTTTAGTCTCGACTTCCTAACTGTTAATGTTAAGTCTCGACTTCCTTACTGTTAACGTTTAGTCTCGACTTCCTTACTGTTAAGGTTTAGTCTTGTATGTCCTTACCGTTGACGTAAAGTCTCGTAACCTCCTTACTGGTAACATTTAGTCTCGTACCTCCTTACTGTCAATGTTGAGTCTCGTATCTCCTCACTGTTGACATTAAATCTCGTACCTCCTTACTGTTGACTTTAAGTGTCGTACCTTAGACTGTTTATGTTAAGTCTTGAACCTCCTTACTGTTGATGTTAAATTTGTACCTCCTTACTGTTGATGTTTAGTCTTGTACCTCCTCACTGTTGACGTTAAGTCTCATTTCTCTTACTGTTGACGTTAAGTCTCGTACCTCGTTTCTGTTGACGTAAAGTCTCGTCCCTCCTCACTGTTGATATTAAGTCTCGTACCTTCTTACTGTTGACATTAAGTCTCGTACCTCCTTACTGTTGACGTAAAGTCTCGTCCCTCCTCACTGTTGATATTAAGTGTCGTACCTTCTTACTGTTGACGTTAAGTATCGTACCTCGTTTCTGTTGACGTAAAGTTTCGTCCCTCCTCACTGTTGATATTAAGTCTCGTACCTCCTTACTGTTGACGTTAAGTCTCATACCTCCTTACTGTTGACGTTAAGTCTCGTACCTTCTTACTGTTGACGTTAAGTCTCGTACCTTCTTACTGTTGACGTTAAGTCTCGTACCTCGTTTCTGTTGACGTAAAGTCTCGTCCCTCCTCACTGTTGATATTAAGTCTCGTACCTTCTTATTGTTGACGTTAAGTCTCGTACCTCCTTACTGTTGACGTAAAGTCTCGTCCCTTCTCACTGTTGATATTAAGTCTCGTACCTTCTTACTGTTGACGTTAAGTATCGTACCTCGTTTCTGTTGACGTAAAGTCTCGTACCTCCTCACTGTTGACGTAAAGTCTCGTACCTCCTCACTGTTGATATTAAGTCTCTTACCTCCTCACTGTTGACGTTAAGTATCGTACCTCTTTACAGTTGTTGTTAAGTCTCATACCTCCTTACTGTCAATGTTTAGTCTCGACTTCCTTACTGTTAATGTTTAGTCTCGACTTCCTAACTGTTAATGTTAAGTCTCGACTTCCTTACTGTTAACGTTTAGTCTCGACTTCCTTACTGTTAAGGTTTAGTCTTGTATGTCCTTACCGTTGACGTAAAGTCTCGTAACCTCCTTACTGGTAACATTTAGTCTCGTACCTCCTTACTGTCAATGTTGAGTCTCGTATCTCCTCACTGTTGACATTAAATCTCGTACCTCCTTACTGTTGACTTTCAGTGTCGTACCTTAGACTGTTTATGTTAAGTCTTGAACCTCCTTACTGTTGATGTTAAATTTGTACCTCCTTACTGTTGATGTTTAGTCTTGTACCTCCTCACTGTTGACGTTAAGTCTCATTTCTCTTACTGTTGACGTTAAGTCTCGTACCTCGTTTCTGTTGACGTAAAGTCTCGTCCCTCCTCACTGTTGATATTAAGTCTCGTACCTTCTTACTGTTGACATTAAGTCTCGTACCTCCTTACTGTTGACGTAAAGTCTCGTCCCTCCTCACTGTTGATATTAAGTGTCGTACCTTCTTACTGTTGACGTTAAGTATCGTACCTCGTTTCTGTTGACGTAAAGTTTCGTCCCTCCTCACTGTTGATATTAAGTCTCGTACCTCCTTACTGTTGACGTTAAGTCTCATACCTCCTTACTGTTGACGTTAAGTCTCGTACCTTCTTACTGTTGACGTTAAGTCTCGTACCTCGTTTCTGTTGACGTAAAGTCTCGTCCCTCCTCACTGTTGATATTAAGTCTCGTACCTTCTTATTGTTGACGTTAAGTCTCGTACCTCCTTACTGTTGACGTAAAGTCTCGTCCCTTCTCACTGTTGATATTAAGTCTCGTACCTTCTTACTGTTGACGTTAAGTATCGTACCTCGTTTCTGTTGACGTAAAGTCTCATACCTCCTCACTGTTGACGTAAAGTCTCGTACCTCCTCACTGTTGATATTAAGTCTCTTACCTCCTCACTGTTGACGTTAAGTATCGTACCTCTTTACAGTTGTTGTTAAGTCTCATACCTCCTTACTGTCAATGTTTAGTCTCGACTTCCTTACTGTTAACGTTTAGTCTCGTACCTCCTTACTGTCAATGTTTAGTCTCGTACTTCCTTACTGTTAAGGTTAAGTCTTGTACCTCCTTACAGTTAACGTTTAGTCTTGTATCTCCTTACTGTTGATGTAAAGTCTCGTACCTCCTTACTGGTAACATTTAGTCTCGTATCTCCTCACTGTTGACGTTAATTCTCATACCTCTTTACAGTTGACGTTAAGTCTCGTACCTCCTTACTGTTGACGTTAAATCTCGTCCCTCCTCACTGTTGACTTTAAGTGGCGTACCTTCTTACTATTGATTCATAGTCTTGTACCTAATTACTGTTGAAGTTAAGTCTCATACCTCCTTACTGTTAACGTTCAGTCTCGTACCTCGTTTCTGTTGATGTTAAGTCTCATACCTCCTTACTGTTGACGTAAAGTCTCGTACCTCCTCACTGTTGACATTAAGTCTCGTACCTTCTTATTGTTGACGTTAAGTCTCGTACCTCCTTACTGTTGACGTAAAGTCTCGTCCCTCCTCACTGTTGATATTAAGTCTCGTACCTTCTTACTGTTGACGTTAAGTATCGTACCTCGTTTCTGTTGACGTAAAGTTTCGTCCCTCCTCACTGTTGATATTAAGTCTCGTACCTCCTTACTGTTGACGTTAAGTCTCATACCTCCTTACTGTTGACGTTAAGTCTCGTACCTTCTTACTGTTGACGTTAAGTCTCGTACCTTCTTACTGTTGACGTTAAGTCTCGTACCTCGTTTCTGTTGACGTAAAGTCTCGTCCCTCCTCACTGTTGATATTAAGTCTCGTACCTTCTTATTGTTGACGTTAAGTCTCGTACCTCCTTACTGTTGACGTAAAGTCTCGTCCCTCCTCACTGTTGATATTAAGTCTCGTACCTTCTTACTGTTGACGTTAAGTATCGTACCTCGTTTCTGTTGACGTAAAGTCTCGTACCTCCTCACTGTTGACGTAAAGTCTCGTACCTCCTCACTGTTGATATTAAGTCTCTTACCTCCTCACTGTTGACGTTAAGTATCGTACCTCTTTACAGTTGTTGTTAAGTCTCATACCTCCTTACTGTCAATGTTTAGTCTCGACTTCCTTACTGTTAACGTTTAGTCTCGTACCTCCTTACTGTCAATGTTTAGTCTCGTACTTCCTTACTGTTAAGGTTAAGTCTTGTACCTCCTTACAGTTAACGTTTAGTCTTGTATCTCCTTACTGTTGATGTAAAGTCTCGTACCTCCTTACTGGTAACATTTAGTCTCGTATCTCCTCACTGTTGACGTTAAATCTCATACCTCTTTACAGTTGACGTTAAGTCTCGTACCTCCTTACTGTTGACGTTAAATCTCGTCCCTCCTAACTGTTGACTTTTAGTGTCGTACCTTCTTACTATTGATTCATAGTCTTGTACCTAATTACTGTTGAAGTTAAGTCTCATACCTCCTTACTGTTAACGTTAAGTCTCGTACCTCGTTTCTGTTGATGTTAAGTCTCATACCTCCTTACTTTTGATGTAAAGTCTTGTACCTCCTCACTGTTGACATTAAGTCTCGTACCTTCTTACTGTTGACGTTAAATCTTGAACCTCCTTACTGTTGACATTAAATTTGTACCTCCTTAGTGTTGTGAAATTTCGTCCCTCCTTACAGTTAACATTAAGCCTTGTACCTCCCTACTGTTGACGTTAATTCTCGTACCCCTTACTGTTGTTAAATCTCATACCTCCTTACTGTTGATGTTAAATCTCGTACCTCCTTACTGTTGACGTTATATCTCGTACCTCCTTACTGTTGATGTTAAATCTTGTACCTCCTCACTGTTGATGTTAAATCTCGTACCTCCTTACTGTTGACATTAAATTTGTACCTCCTTACAGTTGTTAAATTGCGTCCCTCCTTACAGTTAACGTTAAGCCTTGTACCTCCCTACTGTTGATGTTAAATATCGTACTTCCTAACTGTTGACGTTAAGTCTCATATCTCCTTAGTGTTGACGTTAAATCTCGTACCCCTTAATGCTGATGTTAAATCTCGTACCTCCTTACTGTTGATGTTAAATCTTGTACCTCCTTACTGTTGACGTTAACTCTCGTACCTCCTTACTGTTGATGTTAAATCTTGTACCTCCTTACTGTTGATGTTAAATCTCGTACCTCCTTACTGTTGATGTTAAATCTTGTACCTCCTTACTGTTGACGTTAAGTCTCGTACCTCCTTTCTGTTGATGTTAAATCTCGTACCTCCTTACTGTTGACGTAAAGTCTCGTCCCTCCTCACTGTTGACGTTAAGTATCGTACCTCTTTACAGTTGTCGTTAAGTCTCATACCTCCTTACTGTTGACATTAAATCTCGTACCTCCTTACTGTCAACATTTAGTCTCGTACCTCCTCACTGTCAATGTTTAGTCTCATACTTCCTTACTGTTAATGTTTAGTCTCGACTTCCTTACTGTTAACGTTTAGTCTCGTACCTCCTTACTGTCAATGTTTGACTCATACTTCCTTACTGTTAAGGTTAAGTCTTGTATCTCCTTACTGTTGACGTAAAGTCTCGTACCTCCTTACTGGTAACATTTAGTCTCGTATCTCCTCACTGTTGACGTTAATTCTCATACCTCTTTACAGTTGACGTTAAGTCTCGTACCTCCTTACTGTTGACGTTAAATCTCGTCCCTCCTCACTGTTGACTTTAAGTGTCGTACCTTCTTACTATTGATTCATAGTCTTGTACCTAATTACTGTTGAAGTTAAGTCTCGTACCTCGTTTCTGTTGATGTTAAGTCTCATACCTCCTTACTGTTGACGTAAAGTCTTGTACCTCCTCACTGTTGACATTAAGTCTCATACCTCCTTACTGTTGACGTAAAGTCTTGTACCTCCTCACTGTTGACATTAAGTCTCGTACCTTCTTACTGTTGACATTAAATTTGTACCTCCTTACTGTTGTTAAATTTCGTCCCTCCTTACAGTTAACGTTAAGCCTTGTCCCTCCCTACTGTTGATGTTAAATATCGTACTTCCTAACTGTTGACGTTAAATCTCGTACCTCCTTAGTGTTGACGTTAAATCTCATACCTCCTTACTGTTGACGTTAAATCTCGTACCTCCTTACTGTTGATGTTAAATCTTGTACCTCCTTACTGTTGACGTTAAATCTCGTACCTCCTTACTGTTGATGTTAAATCTTGTACCTCCTTACTGTTGATGTTAAATCTCGTACCTCCTTACTGTTGATGTTAAATCTCGTACCTCCTTACTGTTGACGTTAAATCTCGTACTTCCTTACTGTTGATGTTAAATCTCGTACCTCCTTACTGTTGACGAGGACAGTAACTTTGAAGCTCTGATCAGGTTGAATCCTGTCTGTGATGAATCCACTGACAACTAAGGTCACCTTGTCACCAACTTTGCAGGGTGTGTTTGTCTCTATCTCTGAAGATCTAACAATGATCCTGTAAAATAATTATTTTCAAATGACTTGTACATATTGTCTGACATTATTGTGTATATCAGTAACGTGTGTACTGTGAGTGATAGGTTATTAGCTGTGTGTACTGTGAGTGACAGGTTATTAGCTGTGTGTACTGTGACAGGTTATTAGCTGTGTGTACTGTGACAGGTTATTAGGTGTGTGTACTGTGAGTGACAGGTTATTAGGTGTGTGTACTGTGAGTGACATGTTATTAGGTGTGTGTACTATGAGTGACAGGTTATTAGCTGTGTGTACTATGAGTAACAGGTTATTAGGTGTGTAAGCTATGAGTGACAGGTTATTAGGTGTGTGAACTATGAGTGACAGGTTATTAGGTGTGTAAGCTATGAGTGACAGGTTATTAGGTGTGTGAACTATGAACGACAGGTTATTAGGTGTGTGTACTGTGAGTGACAGGTTATTAGGTGTCTCAACTATGAGTGACAGGTTATTAGGTGTGTGTACTATGAGTGACATGATATTAGGTGTGTGTACTATTAGTGACATGATATTAGGTGTGTGTACTATGAGTGATATGTTATTTGGTATGTGTACTAAGAGTGACAGGTTATGAGTGTGTGTACTATGAGTGACATGTTATTTGGTGTGTGTACTATGAGTGACAGGTTATTAGGTGTGTGAACTATGAACGACAGGTTATTAGGTGTGTTTACTGTGAGTGACAGGTTATTAGGTGTCTCAACTATGAGTGACAGGTTATTAGGTGTGTAAGCTATGAGTGACAGGTTATTAGGTGTCTGAACTATGAGTGACAGGCTATAAAGTGTGTGTACTATGAGTGACATGATATTAGGTGTGTGTACTATGAGTGACATGTTATTTGGTGTGTGTACTAAGAGTGACATGTTATTAGCTGTGTGTACTGTGAGTGACATGTTATTAGGTGTGTGTACTATGAGTGACAGGTTATTAGGTGTGTGTACTATGAGTGACATGTTATTTGGTGTGTGAACTATGAGTGACAGGTTATTAGGTGTGTGTACTGTGAGTGACATGTTATTAGCTGTGTGTACTATGAGTAACAGGTTATTAGGTGTGTAAGCTATGAGTGACAGGTTATTAGGTGTGTGAACTATGAGTGACAGGTTATTAGGTGTGTAAGCTATGAGTGACAGGTTATTAGGTGTGTAAGCTATGAGTGACAGGTTATTAGGTGTCTGAACTATGACTGACAGACTATAAAGTGTGTGTACTATGAGTGACATGATATTAGGTGTGTGTACTATTAGTGACATGATATTAGGTGTGTGTACTATTAGTGACATGATATTAGGTGTGTGTACTATTAGTGACATGATATTAGGTGTGTGTACTATGAGTGACATGTTATTTGGTATGTGTACTAAGAGTGACAGGTTATTAGGTGTGTGAACTATGAGTGACAGGTTATTAGGTGTGTGTACTATGAGTGACATGATATTAGGTGTGTGTACTATGAGTGACATGTTATTTGGTATGTGTACTAAGAGTGACAGGTTATTAGGTGTGTGTACTATGAGTGACAGGTTATTAGGTGTGTGAACTATGAACGACAGGTTATTAGGTGTGTTTACTGTGAGTGACAGGTTATTAGGTGTCTCAACTATGAGTGACAGGTTATTAGGTGTGTAAGCTATGAGTGACAGGTTATTAGGTGTCTGAACTATGAGTGACAGGCTATAAAGTGTGTGTACTATGAGTGACATGATATTAGGTGTGTGTACTATGAGTGACATGTTATTTGGTGTGTGTACTAAGAGTGACATGTTATTAGCTGTGTGTACTGTGAGTGACATGTTATTAGGTGTGTGTACTATGAGTGACAGGTTATTAGGTGTGTGTACTATGAGTGACATGTTATTTGGTGTGTGAACTATGAGTGACAGGTTATTAGGTGTGCGTACTATGAGAAACATGTTATTAGCTGTGTGTACTGTGAGTGACAGGTTATTAGGTGTGTGAACTATGAGTGACAGGTTATTAGGTGTGTGTACTATGAGTGACATGTTATTTGGTGTGTGAACTATGAGTGACAGGTTATTAGGTGTGTGTACTATGAGTGACATGATATTAGGTGTGTGAACTATGAGTGACAGGTTATTAGGTGTGTGAACTATGAATGCAATGATACAACTGGAGGCTTTGTCTGGGAGGCCATGTATGTCTGGTGCAGTGATACAACTGGAGGCTTTGTCTGGGAGGTCATGTATGTCTGGTGCAGTGATACAACTGGAGGCTTTGTCTGGGAGGTCATGTATGTCTGGTGCGGTGATACAACTGGAGGCTTTATCTGGGAGGTCATGTATGTCTGGTGCGGTGATACAACTGGAGGCTTTGTCTGGGAGGTCATGTATGTCTGGTGCAGTGATACAACTGGAGGCTTTGTCTGGGAGGTCATGTATGTCTGTTGTGGTGATACAACTGGAGGCTTTATCTGGGAGGTCATGTATGTCTGGTGCGGTGATACAACTGGAGGCTTTGTCTGGGAGGTCATGTATGTCTGGTGCGGTGATACAACGAGAGGTGAGGTGAGGTAAAATGGCATTTAACATCGCATCCAAGATTATTGCACTTATATAGCGACGTGCATGTTTGTGTGTGTGTTTTTGTGGCTGCTTGTACTAGTCCGGACTGATGCCGATTTATAGTGCTAGCTCACTGAGATATCATGCCGCAGTTTAACATGAATACCCCACTCAGATACAGCATACTGACTCCGAGCTGACCAGTCCTTGTTTTAGCCCCGTAATGCCAAGCGCCAGACAGGATAACAACAATACCATCTTTTAATGTTTTTGGTATGAGGCAACCAGGGATTGAACCCCAGACCTTCCGCTCTCTGGGCAGACACTCTACCACTAGACCACAGAGGCGGTCCGATACAACTGGAGACTTTGTCAGGGAGGTCATGTATCTCAGGTGCGGTGATATAACTAGAGACTTTGCCAGGAGCTTCAGTGGCAGAGAGATAAGTGATGTCACAATAATCTGCAAAACATTGCTTTTCATTGTAGAGATATGTCTAAGGAGGTATTGCTTGATCACTCCCAAGTGGTATTTTTTCCAATGGAAGCTAGTTTGGGATGATACATAAACGTCTTACGTTCCATTCATGAGATTGAAGCCTGCTGATCCCTCCATCCAGCCAATCCCCTTCTCTGATCCAAGGGCGAGGATCAAGCGGCCTTTCTGCTCTTGACTGACCAGCTGAATGGTGCAGCTGTTGTTGATCTTCGTGATGGGGTGCAGGTTGACACAACAGCCTTGCTGGTCGGTGGTCTTGTACGACTTGGCATATCTGGACAAACACACACTCAACATGATGAAAACATGCAACATATTACATAATACTTACGATAGTACACCTTCCTCATGACACAATACTTACGATAGTACACCTTCCTCATGACACAGTACTTACGATAGTACACCTTCCTCAAGACACAACACTTAAGATAGTACACCTTCCTCATGACACGATACTTACGATTGTACACCTTCCTGAAGACACAATACTTAAGTTAATACACCTTCCTCATGACACAATACTTAAGATAGCACACCTTCCTCATGACACAATACTTACGATAGTACACCTTCCTCATAACAAAATACTTACGAGAGTACACCTTCCTCATGACACAATACTTACGATAGTACACCTTCCTTATGACACAACACTTAAGATAGTACACCTTCCTTATAACAAAATACTTATGATAGTACACCTTCCTCATGACACAATACTTAAGATAGTACACCTTCCTCATGACACAATACTTACGATAGTACACCTTCCTCATAACAAAATACTTACGATAGTACACCTTCCTCATGACACACCACTTAAGATAGTACACCTTCCTTATGACACAATACTTAAGGTAGTACACCTTCCTCATAACAAAATACTTACGATAGTACACCTTCCTCATGACACACCACTTAAGATAGTACACCTTCCTTATGACACAATACTTAAGGTAGTACACCTTCCTCATGACACAATACTTAAGATAGTACACCTTCCTCATGACATAACATTTAAGATAGTACACCTTCCTCATGACACAATACTTAAGGTAGTACACCTTCCTCATGACACAATACTTAAGATAGTACACCTTCCTCATGACACAATACTTAAGGTAGTACACCTTCCTCATGACACAATACTTAAGATAGTACACCTTCCTCATGACACAATACTTAAGGTAGTACACCTTCCTCATGACACAATACTTAAGGTAGTACACCTTCCTTATGACACAATACTTAAGATAGTACACCTTCCTCATGACACCATTTAGGATAGTACACCTTCCTCATAACAAAATACTTACGATTGTACACCTTCCTCATAACAAAATACTTACGATAGTACACCTTCCTCATGACACAATACTTACGGTAGTACACCTTCCTTATGACACAACACTTAAGATAGTACACCTTCCTCAAAACAAAATACTAAGGATAGTACACCTTCCTCAAAACAAAATACTTAGGATAGTACACCTTCCTCAAAACAAAATACTTACGATAGTACACCTTCCTCAGGACACAATACTTACGATAGTTCACCTTCCTTATGACACAATACTTATGATAGTACACCTTCCTTATGACACAATACTTACGATAGTACACCTTCCTCATGGCACAATACTTACGACAGTACACCTTCCTCATCACAAAGCATGTTCTGCATGTAGTTTGGTTCAAACGTTTTCTTGTCTTTCTCCCATTGGGCAACCAAACTCTGAGAAAATGAATAGTGACAATCATGCCATAGTAAAGTATTTATACCCTAGTTGATCAGTGCAGTATTTCCACCCTAGTTGATCAGTGCAGTATTTCTACCCTAGTTGATCAGTGCAGTATTTCTACCCTAGTTGATCAATGCAGTATTTCTACCACAGTTGATCAGTTCAGTATTTCTATCCTAGTTGATCAATGCAGTATTTCTACCCTAGTTGATCAATGCAGTATTTCTACCACATTTGATCAGTTCAGTATTTCTATCCTAGTTGATCAATGCAGTATTTCTACCCTAGTTGATCAATGCAGTATTTCTACCACAGTTGATCAGTTCAGTATTTCTACCCTAGTTGATCAGTGCAGTATTTCTACCCTAGTTGATCAATGCAGTATTTCTATCCTAGTTGATCAGTGCAGTATTTCTATCCTAGTTGATCAATGCAGTATTTCTACCCTAGTTGATCAATGCAGTATTTCTACCACAGTTGATCAGTGCAGTATTTCTACCCTAGTTGATCAGTGCAGTATTTCTATCCTAGTTGATCAATGCAGTATTTCTACCAAAGTTGATCAGTGCAGTATTTCTACCACAGTTGATCAATACAGTATTTCTACCACAGTTGATCAATGCAGTATTTCTACCACAGTTGATCAATGCAGTATTTCTACCCTAGTTGATCAGTGCAGTATTTCTACCCTAGTTGATCAATGCAGTATTTCTACCACAGTTGATCAGTTCAGTATTTCTATCCTAGTTGATCAATGCAGTATTTCTACCCTAGTTGATCAATGCAGTATTTCTACCACAGTTGATCAGTTCAGTATTTCTACCCTAGTTGATCAGTGCAGTATTTCTACCACAGTTGATCAATGCAGTAGTTCTATCCACGTTGATCAGTGCAGTATTTCTATCCTAGTTGATCAATGCAGTATTTCTACCCTAGTTGATCAATGCAGTATTTCTACCACAGTTGATCAGTTCAGTATTTCTACCCTAGTTGATCAGTGCAGTATTTCTATCCTAGTTGATCAATGCAGTATTTCTACCACAGTTGATCAGTGCAGTATTTCTACCACAGTTGATCAATGCAGTATTTCTACCACAGTTGATCAATGCAGTATTTATACCACAGTTGATCAATGCAGTATTTCTATCCTAGTTGATCAGTTCAGTATTTCTACCCTAGTTGATCAGTGCAGTATTTCTACCACAGTTGATCAATGCAGTATTTCTACCACAGTTGATCAGTGCAGTATTTCTACCACAGTTGATCAATGCAGTATTTTTACCACAGTTGATCAATGCAGTATTTCTACCACAGTTGATCAATGCAGTATTTCTACCACAGTTGATCAATGCAGTATTTCTACCACAGTTGATAAGTGCAGTATTTCTACCACAGTTGATCAGTGCAGTATTTCTACCACAGTTGATCAGTGCAGTATTTCTACAACAGTTGATCAATGCAGTATTTCTACCACAGTTGATCAGTGTAGTATTTCTATCCTAGTTGATCAGTGCAGTATTTCTATCCTAGTTGATCAATGCAGTATTTCTACCCTAGTTGATCAGTGCAGTATTTCTACCACAGTTGATCAGTTCAGTATTTCTACCCTAGTTGATCAGTGCAGTATTTCTACCACAGTTGATCAATGCAGTATTTCTACCACAGTTGATCAGTGCAGTATTTCTATCCTAGTTGATCAATGCAGTATTTCTACCACAGTTGATCAATGCAGTATTTCTACCACAGTTGATCAGTTCAGTATTTCTACCCTAGTTGATCAGTGCAGTATTTCTACCACAGTTGATCAATGCAGTATTTCTATCCTAGTTGATCAGTGCAGTATTTCTATCCTAGTTGATCAATGCAGTATTTCTACCCTAGTTGATCAATGCAGTATTTCTACCCTAGTTGATCAGTGCAGTATTTCTATCCTAGTTGATCAATGCAGTATTTCTATGCTAGTTGATCAATGCAGTATTTCTATCCTAGTTGATCAGTGCAGTATTTCTATCACAGTTGATCAATGCAGTATTTCTATCCTAGTTGATCAATGCACCCCCCCACACCCACCTGTGGAGGAGAATTCAAATTCTTCAGTTTTATTTCAGCGATTCCCTCACCAATGATGGTGACGAGGGGATACATGCCAATGTGGGGGGTCTCCTTGATATCTTTGTCCTCCATCTGTAACACAGAGTACACCTTAAAGGCCACATCACATAGACCCCTTAAAGGCCACATCACATAGACCCTTTAAAGGCCACATCACATAGACCCCTTAAAGGCCACATCACATAGACCCTTTAAAGGCCACATCACATAGCCCCTTAAAGGACACATCACATAGACCCCTTAAAGGCCACATTACATAGACCCCTTAAAGGCCACATCACATAGACCCCTTAAAGGCTACATCACATAGACCCCTTAAAGGCCACATCACATAGACCCCTTAAAGGCTACATCACATAGACCCCTTAAAGGCCACATCACATAGACCCCTTAAAGGCTACATCACATAGACCCCTTAAAGGCCACATCACATAGCCCCTTAACAGCCACATCACATAGACCCCTTAAAGGCCACATCACATAGCCCCTTAACAGCCACATCACATAGACCCCTTAACAGCCACATCACATAGACCCCTTAAAGGCCACATCACATAGCCCCTTAACAGCCACATGACATAGACCCCTTAACAGCCACATCACATAGACCCCTTAAAGGCCACATCACATAGACCCCTTAACAGCCACATGACATAGACCCCTTAACAGCCACATCACATAGACCCCTTAAAGGCCACATCACATAGCCCCTTAACAGCCACATGACATAGACCCCTTAACAGCCACATCACATAGACCCCTTAAAGGCCACATCACATAGCCCCTTAACAGCCACATCACATAGACCCCTTAACAGCCACATCACATAGACCCCTTAAAGGCCACATCACATAGCCCCTTAACAGCCACATGACATAGACCCCTTAACAGCCACATCACATAGACCCCTTAAAGGCCACATCACATAGCCCCTTAACAGCCACATCACATAGACCCCTTAACAGCCACATCACATAGACCCCTTAAAGGCCACATCACATAGCCCCTTAACAGCCACATGACATAGACCCCTTAACAGCCACATCACATAGACCCCTTAAAGGCCACATCACATAGACCCTTAACAGCCACATTCATATCATCAGGTAAATCCCTTAAAGGGTTGCAATATAAGAATTCAAAGAAAAGATACCTTAAGTTTATGATAAGATACAATTTCGCAACCATTTGTCGTATATCGTACAAAGATATGATACCTATCGTAAACCCTGATAGATCTTATTTGTGTCAGACATTGACAGATTTCCCAATGACATAACAGGGATTTCCTGGCCGGAGATAATTTCAACAACATCATTAACATGGACTTCAAGCTGACCGAAGTCATCAGGTCCCTTTGTAATCCTCAATATATATCCAACATGCAGACAGTTTGTTCTTATAATGAAAATGCCAGGACGACCCTCACAAAATACAGAAAGATGGCAGAGCAGATAACTTCTTGAGCAATAGGGTTTCTATTTTAATTGGGTTATTACACTTTTCATTGGGTGGCCAATATCTTTTCACTCATCACTTCATCACTCTATTGGGTTTTCCCCAAATAAGTGAACACTTTAAGATTTAAAAAAATTGAAATTATGTTTCAGATATATTTAACTGTTCTAAATATATAGGCTTGACTTGGAAAGAAAAATTAGCTTGTAATAGTGTTTCGGAAATTAATTTGTATGCATGCTGGAAAAGCTTCACTGGGCATTTACACATGCTGTTTTTATAATTTGAGTTTTTCATTTATTGCATGTGTTTCTGTACGCAAGTTATTTGAAACATTTCTGGGGGGCATTTTACGCAAATAGGCTGCTTATCTGTAGCTCTGAGACAGTGAGCAAAGATAGCATGATCGCATGGTGATCATACAACCAACCTTCTACCTATCATATCACCTCTCACAAGGACAGATCCTATACTGCAGCGGTTAACTGGTGTAAACTTCGGAAAAAGCAAGGCTATAAAAACTATCACAAATGTGAAAAAACATGAACGGCTCTGTACATTTAGGTGTGTTATCAATAAGAAACTGTCAACAAATGACAAATGACTACAATATCTAATCCGGTTATTGTCAACTCATTCACTCGGCCGGCCAGACACAAAAACCTCTTCACAAAGAGAATTCCATGTATGTCTATTTGTCATCCACTGTTAACCCACTGGTTAGACAACCATTAGTTAGATAACCATTCTAATGGTTGTCTAAGCAATAGTGTCTTACTTATGGTTGTCTAACAAATGGTTGTCTAACTCATGTTCGTCTCACCAATGTTTGTCTAACTAATGGTTGTCTAACTAATGGTTGGCTAACTAATGGTTGTCTAACTAATGTTTGTCTAAATAATGGTTGGCTAACTAATGGTTGGCTAACTAATGTTTGTCTAAATAATGGTTGTCTAACTAATGGTTGGCTAACTAATGGTTGTCTAACAAATGGTTGTCTAACTAATGTTTGTCTAAATAATGGTTGTCTAACTAATGTTTGTCTAAATAATGGTTGTCTAACTAATGGTTGTCTAACAAATGATTGTCTTACTAATGTTTGTCTAACTAATGTTTGTCTAACAAATGGTTGTCTAACTAATGTTTGTCTAACAAATGGTTGTCGAACTAATGGTTGTCTAACTAATGGTTGTCTAACAAATGGTTGTCTAACTAATGGTTGTCGAACTAATGGTTGTCTAACTAATTGTTGTCTAACAAATGATTGTCTTACTAATGTTTGTCTAACTAATGTTTGTCTAACAAATGGTTGTCGAACTAATGGTTGGCTAACTAATGGTTGGCTAACTAATGATTGTATATCCAATGGTTGTCTGCTTTACATTATTCTAAAGATCGTTTTGAAAATGTAGGCAGAGCATTCCACATATCTTGTAGTCAAGACGTTTCCAAGGAAACAGTTGATCAATCAGTGCTCCACTCCTGCATGAATCTCATTCAGACAAAACTTTACCACTCACAGACATTGTGTCAGGTTCCAATACATACCCGTGTTCCGTTCTTTGTGAGGTAGAAACTGCAAGCCCCTTCCCTCGGAACGTATTCGGACTCCCACTCTCCATCAACTCCAAAACCAAACACATCATCGGGGTGAATCTCAAGCCTAGAAAAAATCAAAACCACATCTCCTTGTAACCATCCCATGTATGTCTCCATCCGACCCATATGACCAAACATCCATGTCCCATCCCCTATCAGCGTCCCATCCCCTTCAGCATCCCATCCCCTATCAGCGTCCCATTCCCTATCAGCATCCCATCCCCTATCAGCGTCCCATCCCCTATCAACGTCCCATTCCCTATCAGCGTCCCATTCCCTATCAGCGTCCTATCCCCTATCAACGTCCCATCCCCTTCAGCATCCCATCCCCTATCAGCGTCCCATCCCCTATCAAAGTCCTATGTCCTATCAATATCCCATCACCTATCAACGTCCCGGCCACGAATATCCCATCTCTCCATCCACCATCACTCCACCCACCATCTCTTCTCTAACCATCTCTCCACTCACCATCTCTCCACTCACCATCTCTCTACCCACCATCTCTCCACCCACCATCTCTCCACCCACCATCTCTCCACCAGCCATCTCTCCACCCACCATCACTCCACCAGCCATCTCTCCACCAGCCATCTCTCCACCCACCATCTCTCCACCCACCATCTCTCCACCAGCCATCTCTCCACCCACCATCACTCCACCAGCCATCACTCCACCAGCCATCTCTCCACCAGCCATCTCTCCACCCACCATCTCTCCACCAGCCATCTCTCCACCCACCATCACTCCACCAGCCATCTCTCCACCAGCCATCTCTCCTCCAACCATCTCTCCACCCACCATCTCTCCACCAGCCATCTCTCCACCCACCATCACTCCACCAGCCATCACTCCACCAGCCATCTCTCCACCAGCCATCTCTCCACCCACCATCTCTCCACCAGCCATCTCTCCACCCACCATCACTCCACCAGCCATCTCTCCACCAGCCATCTCTCCACCCACCATCTCTCCACCCACCATCTCTCCACCAGCCATCTCTCCACCAGCCATCTCTCCTCCAACCATCTCTCCACCCACCATCTCTCCACCAGCCATCACTCCACCAGCCATCACTCCACCAGCCATCTCTCCACCAGCCATCTCTCCTCCAGCCATCTCTCCTCCAGCCATCTCTCCACCCACCATCTCTCCACCAGCCATCTCTCCACCCACCATCACTCCACCAGCCATCTCTCCACCAGCCATCTCTCCTCCAACCATCTCTCCTCCAACCATCTCTCCACCCACCATCTCTCCTCCCACCATCTCTCCACCCACCATCTCTCCTCCAACCATCTCTCCTCCAACCATCTCTCCACCCACCATCTCTCCACTCACCATCTCTCCACTCACCATCTCTCCACCCACCATCTCTCCACCCACCATCACTCCTCCAACCATCTCTCCACCAGCCATCTCTCCACCCACCATCACTCCACCAGCCATCTCTCCACCCACCATCTCTCCACCAGCCATCTCTCCTCCAACCATCTCTCCACCCACCATCTCTCCACCCACCATCTCTCCTCCAACCATCTCTCCACCAGCCATCTCTCCTCCAACCATCTCTCCTCCAACCATCTCTCCTCCAACCATCTCTCCACTCACCATCTCTCCACTCACCATCTCTCCACCCACCATCTCTCCACCCACCATCCCTCCTCAAACCATTTATCCACCCCCATTTCTCCTCCAACCATTTATCCACCCACCATATATCCTCCCACCCCACTTACCCTTCTACAGCTCCCCCTTTCTGTTCGTTCATGTCCATTGGGTATCTGGCAGAGAAGAGGACATCAAACATGCAGCCCATGACCAAGCCTGTAGCGCCGCTCTGAGACAGGACCTCCACCTCAAAGTAGCGGTTGCTGCGACTGAGAGGCTGTCTTGACACAAAAACACCAACGACCCGATCGGACTTGGAGATGTTTCTGGAATTACAGTAAACCCTCTCAACAGCTTGAACATTTTCCACAGAAACCCCTGAAACAGGAATTTGTGTTAAACTAGGCAGGTTTGTGAATAAGCTAGACATGCAACAACTGTGAAATACTATTATTTGCCAGAAAAGCAAGAGGTGTTTGTTACATTTCAGTTTCGCTACTATTCATTCTCTTGAGGATGGAATGTCAAGTTACAATGTGTCACAACCTTATTTCAAAGATATGAACTTGATCTAATATATGTGTTTTGTCACAGCTCCACCATGAACTGAGCATGATTTGTGTTGTATGGACCCTGTATGATGTGTGTTGTATGGACCCTGTATGATGTGTGTTGTATGGACCCTGTATGAAGTGTGTTGTATGGACCCTGTATGATGTGTGTTGTATGGACCCTGTATGACGTGTGTTGTATGGACCCTGTATGATGTGTGTTGTATGGACCCTGTATGATGTGTGTTGTATGGACCCTGTATGAAGTGTGTTGTATGGACCCTGTATGACGTGTGTTGTATGGACCCTGTATGGCGTGTGTTGTATGGACCCTGTATGATGTGTGTTGTATGGACCCTGTATGATGTGTGTTGTATGGACCCTGTATGATGTGTGTTGTATGGACCCTGTATGATGTGTGTTGTATGGACCCTGTATGACGTGTGTTGTATGGACCCTGTATGATGTGTGTTGTATGAACCCTGTATGATGTGTGTTGTATGGACCCTGTATGATGTGTGTTGTATGAACCCTGTATGATGTGTGTTGTATGGACCCTGTATGACGTGTGTTGTATGGACCCTGTATGATGTGTGTTGTATGGACCCTGTATGATGTGTGTTGTATGAACCCTGTATGATGTGTGTTGGATGGACCCTGTATGATGTGTGTTGTATGGACCCTGTATGATGTGTGTTGTATGGACCCTGTATGATGTGTGTTGTATGGACCCTGTATGATGTGTGTTGTATGCACCCTGTATGACGTGTGTTGTATGGACCCTGTATGATGTGTGTTGTATGAACCCTGTATGATGTGTGTTGTATGGACCCTGTATGATGTGTGTTGTATGAACCCTGTATGATGTGTGTTGTATGGACCCTGTATGACGTGTGTTGTATGAACCCTGTATGATGTGTGTTGGATGGACCCTGTATGATGTGTGTTGTATGAACCCTGTATGATGTGTGTTGGATGGACCCTGTATGATGTGTGTTGTATGGACCCTGTATGATGTGTGTTGTATGGACCTGCATGACGTGTGTTGTATGGACCCTGTATGACGTGTGTTGTATGGACCCTCCATGACGTGTTGTCTGTGACTTACTTGATCTTCCCATCCAGAGTGAAGTCCAACCTCTGCAGGATGTGGATGTCCATGAAGTGCTCGGTGCTCATCACCTGCATCTGGTCCTGCTGCAGGAAGGGGTTGCAGGTTTCCTGAAAGTCCACAGATTGTCAGCTGGTTCAGGATTTCTTGGTATGGAACTTACATTTGTACATAAATACATTGCCAGTTATTCCATCATTTCATTTGGCTAACCCCATTAATGGAATACTGTTTCCTGATTGACTGACAACTGAATGGGAAATATTAAGCACAGGTTTCTATGTTAATACTTCCATAAATGCAAAAACAATATTGAAGACCCTTCTTAATTGAGTGTGTGAGTTTGGTGAATGAGAAACACTGTATGGTGGAGACTAAATGGATGCATAAGATAGTGAACTGTGGTGAACTGTGGTGAACTGTGGTGAGTCTCACCTTGCCCAGCACCCTGGTGATGGTGGCGGCGATGTGGGTCCGAGCATCACTTGGATCACATGCAGCATCGACAGGGATCAGCACTTGGGCCGGGTTGCTAGGCAACAGGATGTCAAACAGCGGCTGCAATACAGGAAACATCCGGTTAGTTCATCACAATCTATTTACATACCTGGAATGTTCCATCTCAGTGTCACACAATCCATACATCCCTATCGAACTCACATTGGAATGTTCCATCTCAGTGTCACACCACCTATACACCCCTATTGAACTCACATTGGAATGTTCCATCTCAGTGTCACACAATCCTTACACCCCTATCAAACTCACATTGGAACGTTCCATCTCAGTGTCACACCATCCATACACCCCTATCGAACTCACATTGGAATGTTCCATCTCAGTGTCACACCATCCATACACCCCTATCAAACTCACATTGGAATGTTCCATCTCAGTGTCACACCATCCATACACCCCTATCAAACTCACATAGGAATGTTCCATCTCAGTGTCACACCATCCATACACCCCTATCAAACTCACATTGGAATGTTCCATCTCAGTGTCACACCATCCATACACCCCTATCAAACTCACATTGGAATGTTCCATCTCAGTGAGAGCCAGCTTCCAGTTTTTGATGTTCCAGTCCTTCACGTGACACAGTGGGCGTCCATTACGACTACTTTCCTTCTTCTTGGACAAATACTCTGACAGACTGACATCCACCTTTGGGTGCGGGACAATCACAGTCTGACCATACGGCAGCTTGGTACGCTCTTTACTGTCTAGAAAAAAATCCATCATAAAACACATTCAATAACCATTTGACATGACACAGTGTATAACCATATGACACAAGCTGACTTTGATCCAGAGGATCAACATTTTGCAAATAAATCTTGTAGCATACCTACCTATTGATGCCAGTACCTATGGGTTCAATGTCTTTGACCATGCTTTGACTCACTGAATTGTAAGTCAAACTTCCTTTTTTCCCTATATAATTTCATGAAAAACGTTTGTTGCCAGGGGGATTTGAACTCGTGATGTCCTCACCAAAGGCTAAAGAATGTATGAAATTAGCAACTAAATTCTTACTCACATCAAGACCAATTGCTTATCCATTTATGAACTGCAAAATATGTGTTTTATGCAGTTTTTATACAGTATGCAATGTAGTATTTGTAAGTACTTGTGATTTGGTAGCTTTTCGTTCATCAAAACAAACAGATAGAAAAGAAATTTATATTATTTTGGTAAGGGGCATGTTTGCTCAAAATAGGCTTTTCAACATTGGCAAGTCAGGTGATTGATAAATGTGCTTAAGTTGGTCCAAAATGAATGATATACTCGCCCAAGGACATGCATTTCATAACCTGATTCGGCAAAGTGCTAGGTGCATGTGCAAAAGGCTCGGGAAACACATTTCACATGCATCATGAAGGCCAAACTCACACAGTGTTCTCACAGTTGAGTATAGAGTTCCTGAATATCTCTCAAAATACCTTTAACAAAACAATGTTTTTAAAGTATTTTAGGTGCTATAAATGTTTGACATGGTTAAAATAGGTTAGAGCACTGGGTCTATGGTGTCTAATCGTTGCAATAGGAACTCATACATAAAGCGCACATGAAACCCAGAAGGTGAAACAAGTTCACATCTGCATGTGGTACCTTCAGAATCAGGAATGAGAACATGACACCTCTGAGTTTCAATACTTATGTAATAGAAAATAGAAAACAAAATCATGGAAAAAAAACTAGCATTGTTTTCAAGGAACAAGAGGTATAAAGTTGACACAATCATAGCGGTATAAATGATAAATGTTTAACTTCTTAACTTAACGGAATGGCATCAGACTCTTTTGTTGGCACTTTATATGTGAGCAACAAATGCTGCATTGTCCAGAACAAACAATTATGACAGTGACACAATGGCTGGACGGAACAGCGTAAAAATATGTTTGGTATGTCTACAGTGGTCAATTTAATTGATATTTTTTCAGAATTTATCTTATCAAATTAATTGTTACTTTGTTGTAATATTATTTTATAATGAACAAGATCAGTGGAGCCGAGCAGATATTGTCAAAACTGAAACACCCAACGGTGCATGCGTAGTTTTACCTCCCTTATGCTTAGCGTACTACAATTTACTCCTGTAGCCTCAATTATTCATGCTTTTTGAACGTGCTCATGACTCACTAAACGGAAACTGGGACAACGTTTCCCACCTGTCCCTGTGACAGAGCTTTGAATCACTTTGATTATGGAGCCCAACTAACAGAAACTTGTTTATTGTAAAAATTTACAGTTAGTTAAAAAACATATTTCGTAATGATTTCTGTATTTTGTACGTACACATATCATTATACATGTGTGAGACAAAGAAGTATGAAGTATTGTCACCATAAGTGGGAAGAGTGAGTGAGTGAGTGAGTTGGGGTTAACGCTGCTTTTAACAGTACATGTATTCCAGTTATATCACGGCATGTCAGCTTAATGTGGAAGGAAAGCCCGAAGTTATGCGGGTCTCAGACGTTTACCACTTCGGTGAAACCCACGAGCACGGGTATGGTGCTGACAAACCTAGAAACATAATCGGGGCAAACTGGGATTCGAACCCACAATCATAGGTTTCTGGCGTGCCCAAGGGATGCAACTCTGCACAGCAAATCGCGGTGCCTTAGACGACGCGGCCACCCCTGACCCCATAAGTGGGATGAGGTGGCAGCATCAAGGGCCAGCTCATACAAGGCCGTCATTTTGAATGTAGATCTATATGTACTTTGCATTCAGAATATTTTGATTGGCTGTTTAGTTCACGAGAGCAAGAAATTTTTAAAAAACCATGTCAAAGTGCAATCAATCTGTAACAATTGTCAAACACATTACTGTTGGGGTCAGTGACCAGCGGGCATCCTCGCATGCCAGAACCACGGTTGATGTGCGCCACAGATGTTGCCATGACTGATATGGTGATGTTGGGCTTCGTGTTGAAGAGGACAGCATAGCCAGCATCAGTCAGTCTGGTGCAGCCATCAAGGCGAACCTACACAGAGATGGGATTCAAACACAGAAGGTATACACAGAAGAAGCTACGGACAGGAGGCATTCATACATTTTTGTTTGTTTGTTTATTTGTTGTTTAACGCTGCACTCAGCAATATTCCCCCTATATGACGAAGGGATGTAAATAATCGAGTCTGGACCAGACAATCCAGTGACTGACATAATGAGAATCGATCCACACAATTGGGATACGATGACATGCATCAACCAAGTCAATGAGCCTGACCACCCGATCCCATTAGTCACCCCTTACAACAAGCATGGTTGCATTTTATGGCTAGCATGGGATGCTGAAGGCCTATTCTTTCCCGGATCTTCACGGGTCTTACTCATACATAGAAACTACACAGAAGGTATTTATCCATAGAAGATGCACACAGAAAGCATTCATACACAGAAGCTACACACAGGAGGTATTCATACATAGAAGCTACACACAGAAGGTATTCATACATAGAAGCTACACGCAGAAGGTATTCATACATATAAGCTACACACAGAAGGTATTCATACATAGAAACTAAACACAGAAGGTATTCATACATAGAAGCTACACACAGAAGGTATTCATACATAGAAGCTACACACAGAAGGTATTCATACACAGAAGCTACACACAGAAGGTATTCATACATAGAAGCTACACACAGAAGGTATTCATACATAGAAGCTACACACAGAAGGTATTCATACATAGAAGCTACACGCAGAAGGTATTCATACATAGAAACTAAACACAGAAGGTATTCATACATAGAAGCTACACACAGAAGGTATTCATACATAGAAACTACACACAGAAGGTATTCATACACAGAAGCTACACACTGAAGGTATTCATACATAGTAGCTACACACAGAAGGTATTCATACATAGAAGCTACACACAGAAGGTATTCATACATAGAAGCTACACACAGAAGGTATTCATACACAGAAGCTACACACAGGAGGTATTCATACATAGAAACTACACACAGAAGGTATTCATACACAGAAGCTACACACAGAAGGTATCCATACATAGAAACTACACACTGAAGGTATTCATACACAGAAGCTACACACAGAAGGTATTCATACATAGAAACCACACACAGAAGGTATTCATACATAGAAACTACACACAGAAGGTATTCATACACAGAAGCTACACACAGAAGGTATTCATACATAGAAACTACACACAGAAGGTATCCATACATAGAAACTACACACTGAAGGTATTCATACACAGAAGCTACACACAGAAGGTATTCATACATAGAAACCACAAACAGAAGGTATTCATACATAGAAACTACACACAGAAGGTATCCATACATAGAAACTACACACTGAAGGTATTCATACAAACTACACACAGGAGATATTCATATTTTTCATGTGATTTGTACTGCTGACTCATAATTTTTTTGCAAATTAAGCACCTTTAGTTACTGAAAGCAACATACCACAAACAGCTTGGGCGCATGGCGAACGATGTCTGCGAGCCAACCGATGCCAGTATCGGTGACGTTGAAGCAGCCAGTGAGATCGATGGTGGACAGGTGCTTGAGATTCTTCTCTCTATTGGCCTGAAACAATGTAGCCCATTACTTATGCTCCTCCCTAGGAGAATCAGGATACACAGCTCTTGGTGACGGGGCAGCCGATATAGCAAAAAAACCGACATACATGTAGGGGTGCAGACTCAGACTACAGAGGACATCTCAGAGGACATTGGAGGGTCACAAACTCACCTACTTGCAGAGGACATCTCAGGACATTGGAGAGAGTCACAAACTCACCTTGCTACAGAGGACTTCTCAGAGGACATTGGAGATAGTCACAAACTCACCTTTCTACAGAGGACAACTCAGAGGACAGGGGAGAGAGCCACAAACTCACCTCATTACACAGGACATCAATATAAATTGCATTAAAACATACTTACCACAAACTTCTGAAGGGGGATCCTTCCCAGGAAGCAAGCATCCTCCTCAACAAGGTCAGTCAGAGACACTGTAACACAGACACAAGGTCAGTCAGAGACACTGTAACACAGACACAAGGTCAGTCAGAGACACTGTAACACAGACACAAGGTCAGTCAGAGACACTGTAACACAGACACAAGGTCAGTCAGAGACACTGTAACACAGACACAAGGTCAGTCAGAGACACTGTAAAACAGACACAAGGTCAGTCAGAGACACTGTAACACAGACACAAGGTCAGTCAGAGACACTGTAACACAGACACTACGTCAGTCAGAGACACTGTAACACAGACACAAGGTCAGTCAGAGACACTGTAACACAGACACAAGATCAATCAGAGACACTGTAACACAGACACAAGGTAAGTCAGAGACACTGTAACACAGACACAAGGTCAGCCAGAGACACTGTAACACAGACACAAGGTCAGTCAGAGACACTGTAACACGGACACAAGGTCAGTCAGAGACACTGTAACACAGACACTACGTCAGTCAGAGACACTGTAACACAGACACAAGGTCAGTCAGAGACACTGTAACACAGATACACTGTCAGTCAGAGACACTGTAACACAGACACAAGGTCAGTCAGAGACACTGTAACACAGACACAAGGTCAGTCAGAGACACTGTAACACAGATACACTGTCAGTCAGAGACACTGTAACACAGACACAAGGTCAGTCAGAGACACTGTAACACAGACACTACGTCAGTCAGAGACACTGTAACACAGACACAAGGTCAGTCAGAGACACTGTAACACAGACACAAGGTCAGCCAGAGACACTGTAACACAGACACAAGGTCAGTCAGAGACACTGTAACAGACACAAGGTCAGTCAGAGACACTGTAACACAGACACAAGGTCAGTCAGAGACACTGTAACACAGACAAGGTCAGTCAGAGACACTGTAACAGACACAAGGTCAGTCAGAGACACTGTAACACAGACACAAGATCAATCAGAGACACTGTAACACAGACACAAGGTCAGTCAGAGACACTGTAACACAGACACAAGGTCAGCCAGAGACACTGTAACACAGACACAAGGTCAGTCAGAGACACTGTAACAGACACAAGGTCAGTCAGAGACACTGTAACACAGACACAAGGTCAGCCAGAGACACTGTAACACAGACACAAGGTCAGTCAGAGACACTGTAACAGACACAAGGTCAGTCAGAGACACTGTAACACAGACACAAGGTCAGTCAGAGACACTGTAACACAGACAAGGTCAGTCAGAGACACTGTAACAGACACAAGGTCAGTCAGAGACACTGTAACACAGACACAAGGTCAATCAGAGACACTGTAACACAGACACAAGGTCAGTCAGAGACACTGTAACACAGACACAAGGTCAGTCAGAGACACTGTAACACAGACACAAGGTCAGTCAGAGACACTGTAACAGACACAAGGTCAGTCAGAGACACTGTAACACAGACACAAGGTCAGTCAGAGACACTGTAACAGACACAAGGTCAGTCAGAGACACTGTAACACAGACACAAGGTCAGTCAGAGACACTGTAACACAGACACAAGGTCAGTCAGAGACACTGTAACAAACACAAGGTCAGTCAGAGACACTGTTACACAGACACAAGGTCAGCCAGAGACACTAACACAGACACAAGGTCAGTCAGAGACACTGTAACAGACACAAGGTCAGTCAGAGACACTGTAATCAGACACAAGGTCAGTCAGAGACACTGTAACACAGACACAAGGTCAGTCAGAGACACTGTAACACGGACACAAGATCAATCAGAGACACTGTAACACAGACACAAGGTCAGTCAGAGACACTGTAACACAGACACAAGGTCAGCCAGAGACACTGTAACACAGACACAAGGTCAGTCAGAGACACTGTAACAGACACAAGGTCAGTCAGAGACACTGTAACACAGACACAAGTCAGTCAGAGACACTGTAACACAGACACAAGGTCAGCCAGAGACACTGTAACACATCTGTAACCAAAGTACAACCAAATCAAGATTATTTTAATTAAGTACTGTAAAATACAAAATGTATATGTCAGGTCCCACTTTATCATATACATATACAACATTTCACGTCGTTTAAACATAGATGAGTATAAATGGCCATGAATGGGTTTTCAATAGGGTTGTTGGGTTGAACATCTTTGGGAACAGTTTCACTGGTCAAATCCAGGTTTCTTGCAACATAGCCAGACTGACCTCATTGTATCTCCTGTATTTAGACTGACCTCCTTGAATCACTTACCTGTATTTAGACTGACCTCCTTGTATCAGTTACCTGTATTTAGATTGACCTCCTTGAATCACTTACCTGTATTTAGATTGACTTGTTTTTTCTCTGGTTCAGCCTTCTTTGCCTTCTGCATGGTGAACAGGTGAGGTCCTCACAAAACCTTCATGGGATGCATATATAGAGTAGATCTGTAGTTGAAAATGGAAATGTTTAATTGTTTAGAGTTCATAAACCTTGATCACAAATAAAATACTAATCATGGTTTTCCTTATTGATGAGGCTAACGCGACAACACAGACATACTGGGTCCAGCAGCAGTCTCCGTATAAAATACAATATGGAGGGGGCTTGTGATGTGTATTAGAACATTAAAATCTAACTCTAGATGTGTAACCATGTTGTTTCCTAATACTGTTGAAGTACCATAGGGACCACAATGGTAGGCAAACTATTTAGGGAACTGTGGCTAAATATTGGTGACCCTGCAGTTTTCAAAACACTTGAATGATGAGTGAGTGAGTGAGTATGGTTTAATGCTGCTTTAAACAGTATTCCAGTTATATCACTGCAATAATGATGAGATCTGATTGGTTCATGTGATCTAGATAAAATACTATGTCTCCCGCCTGGGAGGGAAATAAATTTCTGAGTGGGAGAAAAAATCCCTTATACACCGCTATGAAGGAAACAAGCTGCATGTTAACCACAGCTCAATCGAACAGCTGTTTTTTATCAGTTTTGAATTAATTGTTGTACAATGGCAGATAAAACAAAATGAACACATATCTGGCTAGTGGTATAAAACCTCTCGAGGAACACATATCCGGCTAGTGGTATAAAACCTAACGAGGAACACATATCCGGCTAGTGGTATAAAACCTAACGAGGAACACATATCCGGCTAGTGGTATAAAACCTAACGAGGAACACATATCCGGCTAGTGGTATAAAACCTAACGAGGAACACATATCCGGCTAGTGGTATAAAACCTAACGAGGAACACATATCCGGCTAGTGGTATAAAACCTAACGAGGAACACATATCCGGCTAGTGGTATAAAACCTAACGAGGAACACATATCCGGCTAGTGGTATAAAACCTATCGAGGAACACATATCCGGCTAGTGGTATAAAACCTAACGAGGAACACATATCCGGCTAGTGGTATAAAACCTAACGAGGAACACATATCTGGCTAGTGGTATAAAACCTATCGAGGAACACATATCCGGCTAGTGGTATAAAACCTATCGAGGAACACATATCCGGCTAGTGGTATAAAACCTAATGAGGAACACATATCCGGCTAGTGGTATAAAACCTATCGAGGAACACATAAACCCACATGTACCTGTTGTGACACTGCTACAACTTGTATTATCACACCTCAATATCAGAATGATGAGATCTGATTGGTCCACGTGATCTTGATAAAATACTGTGAAACCCGCCTTGGGGGAAAATAAATTTCTCAACGGGGGAATAAATTTCTTGTACCCCGCCACGAGCAAGTCAGGCTGCACATAGATTTCTGAGAGACAAAATAAATCCCATATTCCCCGCTTCAAAGCAAAAAGCTGCACGCTTTTTCTGAGTCCATGAAAGTCACATGACATAGCACAAGCTAACCTCTGCTCAATCAAACACTGCTTTCTATCTATTTTGAATTTGTTATAATTCATTTACAATGTCATGTAAAAATATGTCGGTAAGATAGATTTGCTGTCGCAAGATCACTCAGGGTACATGGGGTTTTATGCGTCCCTCATTAGGTTTTGTACCACTCACTCATGCAGGATGCATAAAACTCTATGTACCTCTCGTGATCCTGCTATAACTTATGGTGTAACAATGTGTAACAAAGCTTAAAAATGTGTAACCATGTGGATGAATTTAATGTGAATCATTAATAATCTTTGGTAATAATGAATATACATCAGTCATATTAACAATCCTAAACCAAGAGATACTAACTTGGAAAACAGGTGTCTTTGTTATGCTTTGAGAGAACTAGTAAGACTGAAAGACATTTACTTGCTGGAAGACAAGAGGCAGACAACAAGACAGGTTAGATTTGTTTCTAGTGGGTGAGATGAAATAGGGTTTAATGGTGCGTTCAAAATTGTTTCAAAATTGTTGCACTTATGTAATGACATGCACGCATGTGTGTGTCGCTACTTGTACTATTTTGTAGTGCTATCCTACTGAGATACCATGTTGCAGACGGGCTGCTATCTATTCTATTGCTATGCGACGTCATTGGCGTCACGTTTCTTGTTTGTGACGTCATCCTACAGTATGTTCAATGACGTTGCTATTTGCAACTCAATGACCTCCATTGTAAGCTTGTTTTCTCTATATTATTTATAAATAAAGTCACAAACGTGGTTTCTTTAATAAACAATGTCTTTGCTCATCACAATTAATGATATTAAAACACATAATGTTCAGTGTCAAATAACGAATTTCTGTAAATTTTAAAAATTCAAAATGTCTGTTACTGACGGTATACTGTCTCATGTTAGTCAGTAACAACCATCTTGGATTTCTACTGACGGTATACGTACTGGGGTCAGTAGTTCTGCTCTCTGATTGGTCAATCTCACTTTGAGGCATAATAAAGGTGTTTATGCAGGTGTGTGCAATGGTCTACAGGTGTCTATACAGGTGTGTGCAGTGGTCTAAAGGTATGTGCAGGTGTCTATACAGGTGTGTGCAGTGATCTACAGGTGTGTGCAGGTGTCTTTACAGGTGTTTATACAGGTGTGTGAAGGTGTCTATACAGGAGTGTTTAGGTGACTATACAGGTGTCTTTACAGATGTGTGCAGGTGTCAATACAGGTGTGTGTAGGTGTCTATACAGGTGTCTATACAGGTGTGTGCAGTGGTCTAAAGGTATGTGCAGGTGTCTATACAGGTGTGTGCAGTGATCTACAGGTGTGTGCAGGTGTCTTTACAGGTGTTTATACAGGTGTGTGAAGGTGTCTATACAGGAGTGTTTAGGTGACTATACAGGTGTCTTTACAGATGTGTGCAGGTGTCAATACAGGTGTGTGTAGGTGTCTATACAGGTGTGTGCAGGTGTCTATACAGGTGTGTGCAGTTGTCTATAAAGTGTCGACACAGGTGTCTATATAGGTATTTGCAGGTGTCTATACAGGTGTCTATAAAGTGTCTACACAGGTGTCTATAAAGTGTCTACACAGGTGTCTATATAGATGTCAATACAGGTGGGTGCAGGTGTGTATACAGGTATGTGCAGGTGTGTATACAGGTATATGTAGGTGTCTATATGTACCGTTGGAGTAACACGCTTTGTTGTTAGCTATGTTCCCTTTATAATTCACAAGATAATCTATTAAACTTTTATCTCACAATTCTCATGGTGATGTTAAGATTCTTATAATGAAATTTCAGTTGAGTCCAAACGTTATTATTAATGTAGTATTAAGCAGTTAGTGACATCAGGTCGCCGGGTCAATTTTTCCAAGTAGCCTAGTGGCAACTGCTTAAATAATAGTTGTCGCAAAGTCGAAAGTTCAATCACCATGGCGACCAAATTTGTTGCAACTTTGAGGCCTGTTTTAGTTATAAGTTACTCTTTTGTCCCTTACTTACATACAACCGTTCATAATTTCAGTTGCGAAATTAATTTGATAATGATGCTAACAGCATGGTTTTCTTCATATTCATCTGGCTACTGAGAGATATGTGCAAATTTTCCCATATTGAGTGTGCTCTAAAATGTGAATCTTGGCAACAGCCAAGCAAATTCCTCGAATCCAGCAAACCTTGGTGAGTTTCAAAGATTAATGAAGCAGACTGTTTGCTTTTCTCACATTCATGACCTCATGCTAGTGTTGATTGAAAGATATACAAATATGTGACACAGTTCTTCTTGACTGTCATGTACACCTAGGATACAATGCCACACGAGATGCACCTGCATGCACTGATGGAACACAAACTTAAAGTCAACTTGTGCTAAAGCTGTCTGCTGTCGGTGTGTGGACACACGGTTATTCTACCATGGGGCTCATTTAAAACCATACACCGGTAAATATTGTAACCATAACACGTGAAATCTCAGTTGAGGGATATACGAAAATAATAAACACACATAAACCTACACCTGCATACACCCTTTACCTACTTCTCCCCACCCCCTTCAGACTATGCCGAATCACATTGTACACGTCTTTGAAATTGAATACCACCGAACGAGGCGCCCACAGTGAAGGGAGCGGACATTACATTAATTGTAGATGGTGTCACTGTGCGTGGTTTGACAACAATAATTATTGACACTTGGTGGTACCATGACACACTGGGATAAGCGATAGCAACTCTGTTACCTTCAACTGCACATTTAGTTGATTGTCACAGACATCCATGCAACTGTCGAAACCAACTTCCGCCTTGCCACTTCCGTGGCAACATAACGCTTGTCCCTTAGCAACGGTAAAAACATCCAAAGCGTTCTGTGTCAGCGAGTGTTCACGCATCGATTACTAGCGCATCGTTTGTGATCTACCCGTGGTGTATAACTAGTGTGATCTACCCGGGGTGCATAACTAGTGTTATCTACCTGTGGTGTATAACTAGTGTTATCTACCTGTGGTGTATAACTAATGTGATCTACCTGTGGTGTATAACTAGTGTTATTTACCTGTGGTGTATAACTAGTGTTATTTACCCGTGGTGCAAAACTAGTGTTATCTACCTGTGGTGTAAAACTAGTGTGATCTACATGTGGTGTATAACTAGTGTGATCTACCCGTGGTGCATAACTAGTGTTATCTACCTGTGGTGTATAACTAGTGTGATATACCTGTGGTGTATAACTAGTGTTATTTACCCGTGGTGCATAACTAGTGTGATCTACCTCTATAAATAGTGTTATTTACCCGTGGTGCAAAACTAGTGTTATCTACCTGTGGTGTAAAACTAGTGTAATCTACCCGTGGTGTATAACTGGTGTGATCTACCCATGGTGTATAACTAGTGGGATCTACCTGTGGTGTATAACTAGCTAGTGTCATCTATCCGTGGTGTACAACTAGTGTGATCTACCCGTGGTGCATAACTAGTGTGATCTACCTCTATAAATAGTGTTATTTATCCGTGGTGCAAAACTAGTGTTATCTACCTGTGGTGTAAAACTAGTGTGATCTACCTGTGGTGTATAACTAGTGTGATCTACCCGTGGTGTATAACTAGTGTGATCTACCTGTGGTGTATAACTAGTGTTATCTACCTGTGGTGTATAACTAATGTGATCTACATGTGGTGTATAACTAGTGTGATCTACCTGTGGTGTATAACTAATGTGATCTACATGTGGTGTATAACTAGTGTGATCTACATGTGGTGTATAACTAGTGTGATCTACCCGTGGTGTATAACTAGTGTCATCTACCCGTGGTGTATAACTAGTGTTATCTACATGTGGTGTATAACTAGTGTGATATACCTGTGGTGTATAACTAGTGTTATTTACCCGTGGTGCATAACTAGTGTGATCTACCTCTATAAATAGTGTTGTTTATCCGTGGTGCAAAACTAGTGTTATCTACCTGTTGTGTAAAACTAGTGTGATATACCCGTGGTGTATAACTGGTGTGATCAACCCATGGTGTATAACTAGTGGGATCTACCTGTGGTGTATAACTGGTGTGATCAACCCATGGTGTATAAATAGTGTGATCTACCCGTGGTGTATAACTGGTGTGATCAACCCATGGTGTATAACTAGTGGGATCTACCTGTGGTGTATAACTGGTGTGATCAACCCATGGTGTATAAATAGTGGGATCTACCCGTGGTGTACAACTAGTGTGATCTACCCGTGGTGCATAACTAGTGTGATCTACCTCTATGAATAGTGTTATTTACCCGTGGTGCAAAACTAGTGTTATCTACCTGTGGTGTATATAACTAGTGTGATCTACCCGTGGTGTATAACTAGTGTGATCTACCTGTGGTGTATAACTAGTGTTTAAATAGTGTTATTTACCCGTGGTGTATAACTGGTGTGATCTACCCATGGTGTATACCTAGCTAGTGTCATCTACCCGTGGTGTACAACTAGTGTGATCTACACGTGGTGTATAACTAGTGTCATCTACCTGCGGTGTATAGCTAGTGTCATCTACCCGTGGTGTATAACTAATGTAATCTACCTGTGGTGTATAACTAGTGTGACCTACCCGTGGTGTATAACTAATGTGATCTACCTGTGGTGTATAACTAGTGTGATCTACCCGTGGTGTATAACTAATGTGATCTACCTGTGGTGTACAACTAGTGTGATCTACCCGTGGTGTATAGCTAGTGTGATCTACCCATGGTGTATAACTTGTGTGATCTACCCATGGTGTATAACTAGTGTGATCTACCCATGGTGCATAACTAGTGTGATCTACCTGTGGTGTATAAATAGTGTGATCTACCTGTGGTGTATAACTGGTGTGATCTACCTGTGGTGTATTAATAGTGTGATCTACCTGTGGTGTATAACTAATGTGATCTACCTGTGGTGTATTAATAGTGTGATCTACCTGTAGTGAATAACTAATGTGATCTGCATGTGGCGTGTAACTAGTGTGATCTGCTTACAACTGGTGTGATCTACCCATGGTGTATAACTAGTGTATAAATAGTGTTATTTACCTGTGGTGTATAACTAGTGTGATGTACCCGTGGTGTATTACTGGTGTGATCTACCCATGGTGTATAACTTGTGTGATCTATCCGTGGTGTATAACTAGTGTGATCTACCCGTGGTGTATAACTTGTGTTTATCATCCTTCTTTATCAAATCACATGTACCACGTATACATTCTTAGTATATTAGCAACTGATAAACTATTATTCTTCATTAAAATCATCACTCATAAACGCCTTTATCAAACTAAATTATATAATTCTATCGACATAACAATAATAATTTGATCGTCACTTTAATCAGAAAATGAGATTATTTGTAACAGCTAGAATAGGTAGAAATACGGACGGCAGCATTCTGTTGCTGTCTAATAAACTGATTGTTTATTCACTAAGGTGCGAAAAGAAACTATCTTGTACTATGTTAAATCTCAACTATATATTATTACTTTTGGCAATACCAGCAAGTGTATTTGGTAATTGGAAATGTCATAATTTGGTTTATATTTTAGATATACGTAATACTGCTGTGTTTAGAATATGCTAACTCTGTTCACTTTATTACGCTGTTGACCGTTTAGAAAATGAATTATGGCTTAAATAGTTTGTTCGTCGTGTGAATGAGAGCGTCGGGTATACTATATTCTGTCAAATGTAAATTGTTGAATATACATCTAGATAGTGTATACCGAACAACAAAAGTTCATGCGACATTGAATAAGATTTAATGCAAAGTTATGTTTTTTACCAAATCTGAAAAAAATTCGGTTTGCAACAGACAAAAGACTCCTGTGAGTGTTCAAATGGTTTAATTTGCTATACTGACTTCAGAAAATGCGCGATTTCATAAAAAACCAACATGAACATGCCAAATGTCAATTTACAAATCAATAGCAACTCATCTTCTTCTCATGGAATGGACCAGGCGTCGCACAAAGACCTGTGGGATATCTGTCCATATCTGCTGGAGCATGTTTCGAAGTTCCTGGAGTGTTTGTGGAACACGTGGTTGACGTCGAAGGCGCCGATCCATCTCATCCCACATGTGCTCGATTGGTGAGAGATCAGGGGAGCGAGCCGGCCAGGGGATGACATTCACGTTGTTTCGTAGAAGGGAATCCTGAACAAGTCGAGCAATATGAGGCCGAGCGTTGTCATGTTGAAAGGTAATGCCTGGGCCATGACGACGCAAAAACGGTAGAACAACAGGGCCGATGATCTCGTCGCTGTAGCGCTGTCCGTTGAGATTTCCCTCTACCACTATCAAACGGGTCCTCTGTCTTGCTGTAATCCCACCCCATACCGAACCGATCTTCTTCCATGACACAATGATTGACGTAACGTTCACCTCGACGTCGGTACACTCAAATCCGTCCATCGCTGTGGCTGAGGTGAAAACGAGACTCATCAGTGAATAGAACTTGTCCCCGCTGCATGGCCGTCCAGCGTAGACGCTGTCTGCACCAGTGTAGACGTGCTTGACAGTGGTTTCCTGTCAAAATGGGACGTCTGGCGGGTCTTCTGGCGACAATCCCTGCACATCTGAGGCGACTACGTGGTTTGTGAAGATATTCATCGAAGGCCAGGGATGCTTCTTCCAGTCACTGTTGCTGCCTGGAATCGATTTCGTAGGTGTGTTGTTCGAATCCAATTGTCTTGTCGATTATTGGTTACGCGTGGCCTGCCACTCCGAGGATGGTCTCTGACTGCATTCGGCTGTTGCCAACGTTGCCATAACACCAAATGGTGTTTCTGTGGATGTTAAATTGTCTTACAACATCACGTTGACTCGATCCTGCTTCAAGCATACCAATGGCTCGCAGACGCTCATTTTCGGACAGGCGTGGCATATCGTAATGTTGAATAATTGCATAATATGGAATCCAGTTAACGCACATGTTTTTATACCTATTCTTGGGTAGTGAAGTGCATGGGGCTTGCATAAAAGTCACTTGTGACTTGATTCCATACTTGTACATGTACTCAGTACTACAATACTGAAAAGCAAACTTTACTTTTTTGAAAAATACACTAAAATATTGGTGTCACAGGAACTTTTGTTGTAGAGCATAGTATTATTTTGTGTAATCCTTCCTTATCACTTTCGTCTGATGTTCTTCGCATACATGATTGTAATCATTCTATTGTTGAGTGATGATATGAAAGATTCTGTGGCTGTCTAATAAACAGACTGTTTATCCACCCAGGTTTTGTGTTTTGTGGGTAAACTGTGTACAGGGTATCCTGCTAAACGAGTTGATTCCCCAACTAACGCTTTTAATAGATTGATACACTCATTTATCAAATATGTTGGCATTATTACTATTTGGTACCTTTGTCAGTGTTTAAAATAGTCTCGTCTAACGCTGATTGATATGAAGGTACATGCAGCTACCGCATTTCATGTGCACTAACCGGTGGGGGATGTACGCTGTTACCATGTGCTTAGTGAACCTTAACTTCATCATCTGCCCGGTGTCTCAGTGAACCTTTACTTCATCACTTGTCCCAGTGGCTCAGGGGACTTTTACTTCATCACATGCCCTGGTGTCTCTGTGAACCTTTACTTCATCACCTGCCCTGGTGGCTTAGTGAAGCTTTACTTCATCACCTGCCCTGGTGACCTAGTGAACCTTTACTTCATCACCTGCCCTGGTGGCTTAGTGAACCTCTACTTCATCACCTGCCCTAGTGGGTCAGTTAACCTTTACTTCATCACCTGCCCTGGTGGCCTAGTGGACCTTTACTTCAT